CAAACCAAGAACTAGCATTTGGTAGCCACAAAGTGCATCTTAGCCCAACCAATTAATATACCTCAATATATGTCTGCTGAGCTGAATATATGAAACTCTTTATCAAAACATTTAAATATAAACATTAACTAAGGACCACATTTTAAAAAATAATATAATAGTATACTTTTACATCATTTTGCATCTTTTTCCATCTCAGTTGTAATCCCCGTGGGTTTCCCATCACCAAAAAATCCCATGTGCCATCACCATAGTCCAGTGCACTCCCCCACCCCCCATTTTTAATCCCATTCCCCACTCCACCCTGTAAAATGTAAAATTTCAGACCCTAACAGTCTCTGATATATAGCTGGTCATTATTATTATATTATTTTCTCCCCTGAAAGGACCGCATTTTTAAAAAGAAGTTTAGGGGAAAAATGTAAAGTATCAACATGCATAGCAATTTTCTCAGTAATACGGATGAATTTTGTTTTGTTTTGTTTTTTCTAGTGGCCTGAACCATCATGTTTATGATGTTAAAACAAAGCTTAAGTAAAACTGCGCTGGAAGTGCCCATTTTCCACTTCTAATTTTCCTGCCCACTTTCCCCTCAACCTTCTCCCACAGCTCCATCGGATCACCACCTCCCCTTCTGAGCCAACACACACCTAGGGTGAAGAGGCTCGTTTCATTCTAAATTCTTCAGGAGAGATATTGCACAGAGGGTCAGAAGCTTGGAATAAAAAGAGAACTGCTTTCCAAGTGTTAGCTCAACATTCTGAACGTATGCTCTTTCAAGCACCAGAGTGCTATTTACAGTTCTAGTGCGTTGGTTCTCCCCATGACGGGTCCATTAGTGTGATGAAAAAAAGGCAGAAGTAGCGGTTCCCGATGAGCAATCAGACCAAACCCTGGGGCTTGTCACGCCCTCTGCTGTGACAGAGCAAATATTTCTGCTCTTAATCATAAAAATAATTTTTTAAGTGCCACACAAATATTTTTCAATGAGCAATAAGATCCTATTATCTTTGTGGAAGAAAAACAGGTGAGGAAGTGGGTAGTTTTGAGTCAGATTTTAATTGCAAATGCAGGCAACAAGAAGAGGCGTAACAAGGTCGAAAATTAAATTCCAAACATTTACCAACATAAATAAAATGTTTCTGTTACAGAAGACATTTCCAGATAAAAAGTGATTTTAAAATCTTAGCAAATGGAAAATAAGGCTCAAGGAAAATTCCCAAGTCAAAGGAATTCTTTTCAGCTGCTTTTACTAATAAAAGGATAATTACCTTTTTAAAATCAAGGTCTGTTTTTTAATTATGCTGAAATACATATAACATAAGCATTACCATCTTAACCCTTTTTTAGTTAAGTTCAATAGTTAAGTATTTACATTACTGTACACTCAATCTCCAGAACTTCTTTACCTTGCAAAATTAAAACTATACACCATTTAAAGAATGCTTCATTCTTCCCTCCCCCGGCCTGACATCCACCATTCTACTCTCTACCTCTATCAATGTGCCTCTTCTAGATACCTCATAAAAAATAAATTGGATCCTGGACAGCATTTTGTCTTTTTGTGACTGGCTCATTTCCCCCAGCATAATATCCTCAAGTTTCCTCTATGTTGTAGCATATGTGAGAACTTCCTTCCTTCTTTCTTGAGTCGGAATACTATTTCATTGTATTTATATAGCTCTCATTTTGTTTACCCACTCTTCCATGGATGTACTTGGGTTGCTTCCAACCTTCTTTGACTTACTTTTTATAAACAACTTATTTAATGAGGTAGGCACCAGTGCTGGAATCAGGCTACCTGGGTTCAAATCCCCTCATCTCCATAGTAGCTCAGAAAGCACACATGTTAAAAAAGAAAGAAGAACAGTCCCTCCCTGGTGGCACAGCGGGTTAAAGCACAGCACTGAGAAGCTAAAGCCACTTCCGCATGAGTTCAATTCCCGCCTGCCCCGGAGGTGACCACATGGCTTGGCAGACCTCTCCTGACCCGCCTGCTGCTCCCCTCAGCAGTGTACTTCGTCGATCTGCCTGTTCTGTTCCCCACTCTGTCTCTGATGAAGCCTCTCACCACCCCTGAGCCTCTGGCCTGTACCCCAGTTCTGTATGTACAAATAAATAAATCTTAAAAAAAAAAAAAAGGAGAAAGAAAGAAGAACGTAGAGAAGAGACAGGCTCAAGGTCAAATGCTCGCCAAGTTAAAATAATGACTCTGCTAGGTTCTGGTGGGGGCTTCCAGAGACCAGAAATTCACTCAACCATTTGCTTGTGAATATGAACATGAACAGACATATGGCAGGTACTGATGATACTGAGAGAGCCTCTTCAAGGGCAGCATCCACCAACAGACAAACAGCTCCAGGTGACTAAGGGACACTGGGGGAAGTAAGGAGAAAGAGGCACAATGGCAAGGCTTACCCCAGGGGGCTGGGGGAGGCTTTCCAGATGAAGACCCAGAGAAGGAAGGGAGTCAGGAGGCCACAGAAGTCATTGCACTGAGGTGACACAGGGCAAGATGAGGTGAGAAGCTAATTTCAGGCTGTGTTGGAGGAAAGACATAACGTGATGAAAAGGGAATATCAACATGCAAAGCCCCAAAACTGACTAAAAAAGTCAGAAATTAGGCCTAATGAAGTGCCAAGCAATAGAAGGCATGCCTCACAGGTGCCTTGTGAGTCTCCTGGCCCTTGCCTGAAGTAGTTTCATCTGTTAAAAACAAACTTTAGCTCAGGAGCATAAATTAAAATCATAGCAGGGAAAGCTGACACTCATTAAAAGCTTACAGACTTTACAACTCATTCTATTAAATGGATATTTTTTTCAAAGTCTAAAACATGCCCCAAAGAAGGCTACCTTATAAAATACAATGACTCGACTTAGTTCTCTGGATTAGCCATTATGAACAATGTGCCAGGTCACTGCCTATTACTATTCGCTTATAATACCTGCTCCCTTCCAAAAAATGTTTGAACTAAAGACCGTATCATGTTGTTTAGCTGTCATCTTTCCTGGGCTCTTAAAACCACAAAAGAACTATAAGGTTATCTACCTAGAGAGTTTCTATTCCACACATACTACAAAAGGAACTAAACAGATCACCAAAATGAGCCTTTAAGAAAAGACCACTGAGACCAGATAAGGAAGGTCTGTGCCCAGCTCAAGGGCCACTGTGCAAAGTCATGACAGTGCAAAAACACGTGTCAGCAGAGTATGTAGAAGAAGCCAGGACAAAGAGGAGGCAACTTTGGGTTGGGACACCCCACTATTCACTCACTAGTACATTCACTCCTTTCTTCAGTGCTATGTGAGTGCCAGGAGATATCCAGGAAGGCTGCTGCTGAAGGGCCAGTACAAGTTCCTTTGGTGGGAGGAAGAAAGTATTACAGGTAGAAAGATGTTCCAGTCCCTGAGACTATAAAGGACTGAGTATATAAGGGGCAGCTTCTGAAAGACCAGCCTTCCCAACTGAGCACTACTCATGGGCAGCCTTGACCCCTAGAGATACCTCCATCTCTGTACAGCACTGTGGCTGCCACTAAAGCCCAGCCCAGACTGTCCCTCCTAGCTTTTTGCCATCCATGTATCCCCTGTCTTTCTACTCCAATAGCATCATCTTAAAGCACAAACATCCTCGAACTTTGTATTTGCCCAAGTAAACCTTAACCAACTCTTGACTTTTCTTCTGTTCTGTAAAGTTTACTTTGATACTTTTCTACCATTATCTCAAGGTTTTAATAATTATGATCTGCTGACATTGTTCTTGTTGGTATCATTCAAGTCATTCTCAAAAGCATTAAACATCACAAGATGGAGATAAGAATAAGTCCATATCCCCTCAAGTTGGCTCTGAATCACGAGGCCCCTTTGCCACTTGAGAAAAGAATATGTGAAGAATTAATTCCTTGGTTACTTTTGTTTGTTATTAACTTTTGGTCAAGGTTTTTCTTTTTCTATTATTACGAATTCAAATATATCCCTTTTAAATGTCACACACGATTGTTTTAGTACAAAACAGTTCATTAATGCAAATCAAATAAAGTACTTTGCCTTCTACTCTTTTATCACTAACACGTAACAAAAGCAAAGTCAAAAACTAAAAAATCATGAATAAAACTCTTATACAAATTTGTTAAAGGAAGAGGAAAGGACAAAGGACCTTCTGAAAGATATCTATGTGCTAAGCACAGCTTACCTAATTTCACTTTTATATCTACTGAATCATTTCTAAGGAAAACGGAAAACTAAAAACAGCTCTGTAAAGAGAGAAACCATATATACAACTTCCCATTTCATATTGAAGCATTTCAACATTAATGACATCCCTAAGGTTCTTGGTTGTATCAAAGATAATAAAATATCATATTGCAAAGAGACTCAAAATTACTGGTTTCAGAGCAGAACTAAAACAACATTTCAGAGATTTACATTTGTCCCCAGACTAAAACCAACTATCTCATTCATTAGAGTACTACTCTTAATGAATTCTAGAAAGTACACCCCTAAACTGTTTCAATTGGAAAGAAGGGTCACACTTCAGCTTCCTAAACCATTTTTATTTAAATAATTACTTTGTGGCATGGTCAAAATTACAGTATCCATTTGATTATAAGCTAAACATTGAGAAGCTTTAATAATCTGTCACAACTTCCAAAAGGAGAATAAATGTTCCTACTCAAGTGAACTTTTTTTTTTTCTCAAAGAACTATGTAGCTCTTCAAACCATATTACTGGTTTAAGTCATTTGCCACTTGGAGAGGAGATAAATTCTGATGAAGCTGGTAAAGCTAAATACAGATCACAGAAAGTAAAGGATTCAACGCAGACAAATAATTGTATTACTTTGGAAAAGTATTAATATCTTGAAATAATTTGCTATAACCAAACTATTGGAAATAAAATGAAATTTAGCACAATTTCAAACATAACCAGAATACTGACAACAACTGGGACCAGACAAAAGTCGGCTTCATAGGTCATTCATAGTTAACAGATTCACTTACCTGGAAGTATAAGAAAAGATCAGGAAGGAGCTACATCATTCCTCCACTGGATAAAAATTATCTCGGCTTGTCTCCTTGAAGTGAAAGGAACCTAAAACATAAGAGTAAAATAAAGTGAAGTGAAAACAGGCAGTCCCTGTGAATTTCCATGTCTTAAATTTAGACGCGATTACAAAATAATAAAATTTTAAATCATGTTAGATATAAAATATAATTCATCCAAAGTATTGCCCCTCTCAAATTAAGCTATTTTCCCCTCCCTACTTTAATTAAGCAAGATGCAAAATGTCTTTAAAAAATAATGCAAGATGTTTAAAAAAGAATCAAGGTTGAAAATAAATGGTGAGAGCCATGTCTAATTGTGCGTGAAAGCAAATCAGAGTCACAGTCACTTGAGAAAGAAGCCCACTAAAAGGCAAACCTCGTAGCAAAGAAACGAGCCCGCCAGCCCCGCGCTGTGCCCAACTCGCCGGTCTCAGGGCTCCCCGCACCGAAGTCACCGGGCTTCCAGGCTGGGGACCGAGTGAGAGTGCTGCCCCCCTCTGAAATGAACGCGTTTCGCGCCACCACTCTGTGATGGTTGCACGGAAAGAAATGTTAAAAAACAGAAAATTCTCATGGACGTTTTCCCCAAGGGAAGGAAGGAACCCGCGGGCTTCGAAAAGCTGCAAGGCAGCCAGGACCGTCAGTGATCAGACACGCGGGGGCTCGTGGGCAGCGGGGAGCGCCGGGCTTCAGGGTGGCCGGGAATCTACCCGAGGAGCAGAAGCTGGTGGACAGGTGCGCTTGCTCTTTGCTCTCACCGACAGGCGAGCGCGCCCCGCCCCGCCGGCCCCCAGCCCAGCCTCCATCCGTCCTAGTGCAGTTTGCACGGTCCCCCTCCCTGCGCCCCCACCCCAGCCCGCACTGTAAGGCGGGATACAGCAGGATACAGCAACCCTTTAGGAATTCCATTGGAGGACACGGATGTGTCAAGGAGGATTCTAGCAGCAGGGGGGGAAGGCAGAGGCAGGAAGAGATGCAGCAAAGCCACTCTGGAAGCAAAGGCAAGGGAAATAATTTTGGAAAGGGACTAAGCCCGCCTGTTAATAAATAAGTTTTAATAATGTCATCTTTCAGCTCATTAAGATTGAGTCGTCGTCTCCAAGAGTTTTCATGATTTCATCCCCTCTGTCTTTATAAATCAAGTAATAGCAACAACTACAAATTTAATACTTGTTGTTCCTACTTCACATGCCGGGATATAAGGGATCCCGAATGGCTATCCAAGACCTCTGTGCTCGGGACTGCGGTCACCAGTGCCCCTCTCCATGGAATGGCCTTCTGGAGAGCAAAGTGCGTTTATCAGTTTGCTCTGGCCTTCACCGAAGCCTGAACATGCTCTCTGAGGTACTGACATTAACAAGATGTGTAAGGTGTGTCGCCGCAGCCGTAAGCAGTCCACTGGTGCCCACATATTCTTACCAGTTGACTGTGGGTTTCACGTAAAGGCAGGCTGGGCCGGCCTGGGCCGTGTCTCATGGCCCCACGTTGGCGCCCTGCGCTGCGCATGCGGGTTTGCTGGCTTCTTGGCTTTGCTCTCACAACCCACTTCCGTCTCTGCCCAGCTAATTAATCTATGTCTAAATGGAATTGCATTTGGCAGAAAGGCAGCCATGCCAAAGTGGAATAATCACTTGGCCCCGAATTTGAGTTGTTTCCCATCCTTGACAACAAATAATGTTACTCCGGGGCCTGCAGGCCAAGAGTTGGAGCAAGTTTATAGTCCGGCGTTTCAATCTCCTAATCTCAATCCCCACCACGGAAAAATCTTCTTTTCTGTCTTTCAACATGAAGGGGCAACTTCGGAGGCTACACCACTGGCATGGCCTTTATGGACAGCCTTCATGAATATTCTTTGCCATTTAAATAAAAAGAGGGACACTTCACCTAGTCCCAAAATACCATGTGTTTTAATAGTGAAATTAAATAGACTATAAAACTCATACCTGCATGTGATCGCTAATCTAATTTGTGCTTCTCATGTTCTAGAAGATGGGTATCCTGAAGAAGCTATTAAAGGAAAAGGAGATAGGTGGGCGAAACCACTAGCAAAAAATCAAGGTGAAAGGGGTATAAGCATGGTGGAAAATTACAGCAGGTGAACCTCAGGTATGTTAAGGAGAAGTGGGTATGGTCAATGGACACATCCCCCACAAAGAGAAAAGACCTCCCTCCACTGTGCTGGCTGCATGATGGGTTCCTGCAGTTCCAGCAATCCCATGGATACCCGTATTACTATTGCCCTTTGACAAATGTGGAAAATAGGCTAAAACTAAAGGTGTACAGAAAATTCCCCTGTTAGTGTATGGTCAAGTCAGGATTCTTCTGCCTTTAGAACTGAAACTCTCCAAAGAAAAAGGGAAACAAGTGTTTTCTTTTTTTAGCTATGCTTTACCTACAGTACTCATCCCATCCTTACATGTAGTTCTCTAATTGAGAGGCTTCTTAGGATGGAGACTGCATTAAAGTGGTGGCCAAGCAGATTTAGTGCTGGCATCCAAGCTCTGCAAGAGAGGCCTTGGGAATACAGGCCCCCATTCCTAAATCCCTCATCCTTCAAAAGAAATCACAGTGAAAAGACACTCTTGGACAAGCCTTCCTGAGTATCAAAGAACTAGACAATAAGAATGTGCTAAAAATAAGTTAAATGCAGGAAGCAACTGCAGACACATAGAACAACAGAGTTCTTTGTTTTTGTCCAACTCAGCAGTTCTCAACAACACCCCCCGTGCTTAAGTATTTGAGTCTAGGTCCCCTCTTCTGTCACCTGACATTCAAAATGTTCGTGATAATTTGGCATAGAGAGGGAGGATTATGAAGGAATTTATGTGACGAGTGTTGGTTATAATAAAAAGTGGGCAAGAAAAGACAGGACGAGTGTATGAAAGTGGCTGGGAGAACATCCAAGGAAAAAAATCACAGAGTGGGTTTTGAACATTTCCCAGTTGGGATTCTAAAGAATGGGAAGTCTTCTCTACCCCACTCCCACAGTAATAGAGTTTAACATAGTTCAATTAACAGTATCTCATAAATAAGTCAGCTTTTAACCAAGTTAAAAGAAAACCACCAAAACTCATCACCTGAAAAGAGCAATGAAATATTGAAAATTGGTACATTGAAATCAATTATAGTTTAGTGACCTAGAAACCCATTCTATTTGATGTACATTTAAGAAGGGAAAGTTGGCAGCATTTTGATTCCCAAAGACCTTCAAAAATCCAAATGGTCCAGCCCTCCCTGGTGGTGCAGCGGGTTAAAGCACAGCACTAAGAAGCTAAAGCCATGTCAGCATGAGTTCCATCCCCACCCCGGAGGTGACCCACAAGGCACAGCAGACCTCTCCTGACCCACCCATTGCTCCCTTCAGCAGTGTATTTCGACACTTGGCCTGTTCTGCTCCCCACTCTGTCTCTGGTGAATCCTCTCACCACCCCTGCACCTCTGGCCTGTATCCCAGTTCTGTACGCATAAATAAATGAATCTCAAAAAAAAAAAAACACAAAAACACACAAATGGTCAAACAGACAATACCCTTCCATGTGCCTGAAGTTCCTTACCTTCAAATATGTTTTTCTTTTTTTGAGTCTTTAGTTCATCTACACACAAGTCTCTGAAATGTGAAAAATAAAAAATATATGAAAAAACCCTTTCGTCATTACTGTGCCCAAAATAACAAATGAGAAGCACCACAATGGAGCAGAGTGGATGTGCATCTGCCAGCTTAAAGCTTCCTGATAAGATTTATTCTGTACATGTGTGGATAATATCTATGTTTTAAATCTTGATGGTAATGGTTTTTATGTGTATAAATCAATGGAGTCCCTCTATGTTATGATACGGAAGACAGAACAGAGACAGTGCAGCCAACTTCTAAAGTTACCTTTCTCTGACTATATTTCAGAAAAGAAAGTACCCTTGGATGCAACACACATTACAATTGTATGTTACTATAATCATAACCACATTCCTTCCACATTAAATAGTTCTACTGAAAATAGTATATTTTAGTGCACAACTAATTTTAAAACACATGTATTCTTCCCTGAAAATGTTCTTCTGTTTAACTGTGAAATGAAAATTAGCATTTCTGTGCCTAGGCTAGTGTGTGCAGAAGCAGATCAAATGAGAAGGTGTCTCTTTTTTATTCCCATTCTTTCCACTAAAGTAGGTCACTTATTTTCTTCGCTTTAATTTCTCAGTCTGATAAATGGGGATGATCTCAGATACTGTTAGGAGAAGTACCAAAACTCTGAACAAAATTATGTCAGTAAATTATTTTAATTCTCTTCTTAAATGAATGGGTCTATTATTGCCTCCGAGGGCATAAAATAATGTTTCCTTATGCTCTGAGGATTTGCCAAGTGTCTCCCAACCTCGGCAGTAAGGTCCCTGTGAGCGCCCTGCACAAGTCTTCACACTGTCAACATGTAAACCACCAGCACGACAGAGAATGAAATGACTCACATGCTAAGCAGACATACAAATAGTATGCTATTAGAGCATAAAGAAAAATAAACTAATTTGGGCTGGAGAAAATCAGACTTATATCTAGTCTCCAGGAAAAAAACTAAATTGCTCTGCTTACCACTGGTTGTGAGACCAATAATACAATCTTTCTCCTAAATCAGTTGAGATCCAGACAGACGGTTGATGTACCTCCATAAAATAGAGCTATTTTCCAGCACATAGGCTGCAGTTTCACAGTTACATTCACCAGCAATGTTCCCTTTATTAGACACCCTCTCCCAATAAATGCCTCCGGGCCAGCCCTGCCCTGTTACATATTGAAGCTGCCTGGCAGTGCTGGATACCACACAGATGCTAATGAGGCATGAACAGAATTCAAGAGATCTGTGAAGAACAAGAAACTTGGGTTTTCATCTGTTTTGGATCGAATGTGTCCCCCTCAAATTCATATGCTGAAGCCCTATCCCACTGTGATGGTATTTGGAAGTAGGACCTGTGGGGAGTGATCAGGGCTAGAGATGTAAGAACACAATGGGAAGATCCTCATCAGAACCCAGCTATGCTGACACCCAGCTATGATCCTGCACTTCTGGCCTCCAGAATCATGAGAAATAAAATGATGTTGTTGCTAATCACCCAGGTTAAGGTGTTTTGTTACAGCAATCCCAGGTTATACATTACTATGAGACTTTAGATAAGTTCATAACTTGAGTCTCCATTTCCAGCTCTGTAAAATGAAGAGGTTGTACCAAGTCAGTGAATCATAATAAGGGAGGGTAAGTTTTATCTACTGTCTCCCCTTCATGCTGAGATGCCCCGGGTGGACAAAGATATGAGAGA